TAGAAAATAAGAAATGTCTGGGGAGTCAGAAGAGCTGGAAATTGGGAATGTGTTTAAGGGTAATAGTAGCTGGGGGCGGGGGCGGGCATTGGGGCTGCAGGAGAAGCTGAGGTGGAGGAATAGCTGGGCGATGGACTAGCTGGAGAGCACAGAAGGTCTGGAGGCAAGAGTTGCAGAAGCAAGAGAGTAACTATGGAGGTGGAGTAGCTGAGAGCGGGAAGAGCTGAAAATAGAACAGGCTGAGACCCGAGAGGAGCTGGGAGCAGCCAGCTTGCAGCTCTGGTGGAACATTTAAGCTCCAGGCATCTGAGCCCTTCCAGGCCTTTGGCTTTGGGGGCAGATAAACTTGCAGAGAGGAGGGGCTGCTTGTCTCTGAAGGTGTCCCCAGACCCTGTGCCCAGGAGCTATCAGTGGTACCTGACAGAATCTGGGCTCAGGTGGAATTCCAAGTGGGTTCCCGCCTGCTGCTTCTGAGGCCTCTCCTCCTCCTGGCACGCCTGTGTCTCCAGGAGCCACTGTCAGAGGGGACAGTCCTTATGGAGCTAGGGAGCACCCCACCTCTCCCCACCCCCACTGCCCCGACTCCGGGAAGTTTCTTCACCATCTCCTGCCCATCCCCAGCCCCACGCCAACCTGTTTGAGCATATCCATGCCATCATGCACAGCGGAGCTGGACCAGATGCCAGTCTGACGGGCTGACATCACAGACAGGCGCAGCCAGACTTGGAAACTGCCGGGTACAATGGGGCCCACAGAGCCACCTGCTCCCCTGGGATCAGCGGGGACAGGGCCGATCCCTGCTCAGAGCAGGCAGCTGGCAGGTCCTTTGTTCCCAAGAAATCTCATGAAGTTCATGCACCCGGTCGGTCTGCCCAGTCTCCTTAGCAGCAGGGGGCATGCAGTGTCAGCCCCCTCGCCTGGCCCCTGTGCCCTCTGACTCTCCCCAGCCAGGCAGCACAAGCACAGTAGCCTGCCCACCAGGCCTGGTTCTAGGGATGCTGGTTCTATCCATGCAGCAGCATCTAGCCCAAGATGCTCTGGGGACAAGGGGTAGGGAGCCTGCAGACACCTGCTCAGATGGCTCCCACTCCGCTCCCCATTCTGCAGTTCTCACCCTGCTTCTCTCTCGCTGTAATGAAGTGGAACAAACAGAAACCCTCACCTTGGACAAGATCTTCCCCTGAGACACAGTGCACAAGAGAGGCCGCTGTGGCTGAAGTGGGGGGTGGGGGCAAAACCTACCGAGCTTTGCCCTCGTCGGCATCCACCTCCCCTCTCTGCCCTCACAGTAGTCTCTGGGAGGCCATGCAAGGCAGTGGTTAGGAGCATGGACCCTGGAGCCAGTGGGTCTGGGTTTCAGGCCTGGCTTCGCCACTTAGTATCTGAGTGACCTTAGGAAAGTTACTTAGTCATGCCTCAGTTTCCCCACCTGTAAAATGGGGCTAACAGACCTGCCTCCTATGATTTCTGTGAAGACTCAATGAATAAATGCAGTGACGCCCTTAGAACAGGGCCTGCACATGTAATCATTCAGTAAATATTAGAGAGAGAACATTAATTTTTTAAAAGTCAGTGTGAAAACCACGTGTGCCATGGTGAAGAGCCAAGGGTTTCCAGACGGGGGGCCTACATCTAGTTCTTGGCTTTATCACTTCCCGGCTGTGTGTTTGGGAAGTGCCCTCCCAGGGCCTCAGTGTCCACATCTGAGCAATGGGTGGCCCTCCCTCACTCTGAGGACTGTAGATAGAGTCCCATGTCCTGAGCCCTGCTAGGCAAGGTCCCCAGTGTGCTCAGTAACTGTGTGCATCACCCCTCCCCTGTGGCCCAGAAATCCAAGATCTCCACCTTCGAGAAGATGTGGGCCTTCATGAGCAGCAAGCCCTCGGCGCTGGTGAAGAACAACGAGGAGGGCATCCAGAGGACGCTGACCGCCGACTACGCGCTGCTCATGGAGTCCACCACCATCGAGTACGTCACCCAGAGGAACTGCAACCTCACCCAGATCGGGGGCCTCATCGACTCCAAGGGCTACGGCATCGGCACACCCATGGGTGAGCGAGGGGCTGCATGTGGGGGCCGGAGGGCGGGACTGGGCGAGGCCCTCACATCCACTCCCACACACAGGCTCCTGCTCCCACTCCCAGCTCCTTCCGCTGAGCCTAGCAAGGTGGCATTTCCTCAGCGCAGAGATGCAGGGGTGGAGCCATGTACCTTGGGAGGTCAACCCCGGCTTAAGCAGAGCACTGGGGCCAACGCAGAGGTGGGGGCAGCTCAGAGGTCATGCCTTCTCTTCCCGGCCTCACCCCTGTTGAGGCATCCCAGACACAGTGATTCATAAGCAAGACTCCCTGCCCCAGGTGAGGACCCTTCCTCCCACCAGATGCCATATAGGAGAGACTTCCGGCAATTGGGTGCCCCTTTGATGAGCTGACCAAGAGGGCTAGTGATGGCGGCTGACACCGTCCAGACGGACCGAGCGCCGCTGACGTGTGTCTCCGTTTCCCACGTCAGGCTCCCCGTACCGGGACAAGATCACCATCGCCATCCTGCAGCTGCAGGAGGAGGACAAGCTGCACATCATGAAGGAGAAGTGGTGGCGGGGCAGCGGGTGTCCCGAGGAGGAGAACAAAGAGGCCAGCGCCCTGGGGATCCAGAAGATCGGGGGCATCTTCATCGTCCTGGCCGCCGGGCTGGTTCTGTCAGTGCTGGTGGCCGTGGGCGAGTTTGTGTACAAGCTCCGCAAGACAGCAGAGCGAGAGCAGGTGAGCCCCAAGCCCTGGCCCCTGCACCGGAAAGGGAGGGAGAGCGGGAGGGGCTGATGCTGGGGGTCACACCTCCTGCGCACCAGGCCCAAGGTAGTGTCTGACCCCATCCTCCTCAGAGCCCACCTGCATCCCTTCCAGCGGGAAGCCAGCCAGGCCCACCTCTGCTCCGACTCTGAGCAAACCTCCCGTCACGGTTGTTCATGCCAGGCCAAGCCCCATCATCTCCAGCCGGACCACCGGCCTGGCCTTCCTGCCTCCACACTTCCTCCCTGCCACCCACTCTCCATCCACAGCCAGCACCCGGTTTAAAACTTGATTCAAACCAGGCCATTCCCCTGCATAAAACCCTGCAGGGTAATTATGGGAGCTGGGTGACGGTTACATGGGGGCTCATTATCCTGTTCTCTCTCTCCTTCTGCGTGTATTTGGAAATTTCCATAATCAAAAGTTTAAAAAAGAAAAGGGGTAAGGGAGAGGTTCGGCCCAAACGTTCAGATGGGAGAACCTAGACTCCACCTGTCTGATTAATTCAAGCGTGGCTCTGGGCCCTGGGAGCAAATTAGAATCACAGGAAGAGAGTTTTTTAAGTGCTAATGCCCTGGCCTCACTCTCGGGGACTCCGTTTTAATTGGCATGTGGTGGCGCCTGGCATTGGCGTCTTAAGAAAGTGTATGGCGTGATTTCAGTGAGCACCTGAGCGGGGAAGGCCGCTATGCTGGGGGGAGCGCCACTCAGCACGAAGCTCAAAGCACTACGGGCCAGTGTGGAAAGCGATGGTCGTGAAGTCGTGTGTACAGGGGACCGTTAAAAACAGGCAGCTTTTACATCTGTCCAGAATGAAATGGTGTCCTCTCTAACCAGTGAGCCTGAGTCAGCAGTGCACCCCATGAAAGTGGCCAAGGAGATATGTGGTTTTGTTTACAAAGATGTTCATTGACATGTTAATTATTTTGTGAAGAAAAGTGGGGGGAAAAAACTAAATGTCCAATAATCAGGAATGACTGAAAAAATTACATTTAAAAAAAAAAAACCTCTGTAGGAATTTTCATTATAATTGGAATGAACTCCAAATTCCACCAAAAAGCCTCCAGGATCTGGCCCTTGCCCACCCCTCTGACTTCCTGCTGCCCTCCCCGCCCCTCTTCTCTGCTGCACATACATCCATCTCCTTTTGCGTCCTTAACGCACCCAATGTGTTTCAGCCATGGGCCTTTGCACATGCTGTCCTAGCACCTGAAATGACCTCCCCGCAGCGTGCCATCTTCTCAGCATCGTCTACTCATTCGGTTTCAGCTCAAATGTCACCTCCCAAGGAGCCTTCCCACCTGTCCCTGCTTCTAAACCCTCTCTGTCCCATGCCACTGCTTTATTCTTAACAATAGTTATCACTGAAAGTATTTGTTTACGTGTTTATTATCTGTTTCTAGTCCATCATTAGACCATAAGCTCACTGAGGACTGGGACCTTACCTGTCGTTTTCCCTGCTGTATGTCTAACACCTAGAATGGTGCCTGGCACATAGTAGGGGCTCAATAAATATTTTCAGAATAAAGAGAGGGAGGTGAGGGTGATGTCCTGTGTTTCGTGGGGGAACAAGAGGAAGCTTGGAGAGGTCCCACAGCTGGTAAGAGGCAGAGCCAGAATTCAAAGCCAGGTCCTGTTCCCTGCATCATACAGCCTTGTACAAGCTGCCCGGTACTGATTCCCTGGCCTCACTGGGCAGCAGTGGTCCCCACTGCCTTCCACTCAAGCTGCAGGACAACCTCTGCCATCATACCCCTGCAGGCAATGCTGCACATTTGCTGTTGCTTTCGGTACTCATAGGGACCTAGGCCAGAGGAGGCCACTGCCACTCAACTGCCCTGCAGGGGCCTAGCTCCCCTTAGTTGAAGCCCTCCAACACTTTCAAGTGTTTCTTAAATCCTGACTCTGAGCCAGGACTAGTGTGGGGGCTGGGCTCATGTGGGGGGTGGGGGGAGAGGGCGGTGGGACAGAGTTGACTGGTTCCTGCTCTCAGAATCTAGTGGAGAAAAGTCAGACAAGGTCAACTCCTCAAACTTTAATGTATATGCAAATCAGAGCCTCAGTGTGCTCATCTGTAAAATAGGTATAAGATGATACTATCTGCCCTACTATCTTTTTTTTTTTTAGTATATTTTTATTGATTTCAAAGAGGAAGGGAAAGGGAGAGAAAGATAGAAACATCAATGATGAGAGAGAAGCATTGATGGGCTGCTTCCTGCATGCCCCCAGAGGGGATCGAGCCCACAACCCAGGCCCTTGACCAGAAACAAACCTGGGTCCCTGCAGTCTGCAGGCCAACACTCTATCTACTGGGTAGGGCTCAAGCTCCAAACAAGAACGTGACGCTCTGTAGGCTGCTGCACAAACTGGTCATCTTGCAGGGGGCAGAGGGTGGGTGGGATGAAGGGGTGGCAGAGACCTAGTGGCCTGAGCACAGGCGCGGGAGGAAGAGCAGGAGTTGGCTGGAATTGCAGGGCCAGGCCTCACCCATCTGCTCTTTCTGTCTCGCTCCCACCGCAGCGTTCCTTCTGCAGCACCGTGGCCGACGAGATCCGTTTTGCTCTCACCTGCCAACGTCGGGTCAAGCACAAGCCGCAGCCTCCCATGATGGTCAAGACGGATGCCGTCATCAACATGCACACGTTCAATGACCGCCGGCTTCCGGGCAAGGACAGCATGACCTGCAGCACATCACTGGCCCCCGTTTTCCCCTGAGCACTGGTAGGGTGGGGACCCCAGGCCCAGGGGCAGGGTGGAGGAAAGCAAAAGAGACTGGAAGGCACGTCCCTGTCCCCACACTGGGCTTGGGGACCAGAGCTGCTGCCTGCCTATTGGGCCAAGAGCCCTCTGCCCTCACCTCCTGGGAAACCAGCAGGCCCCCAGGCCAGCTGCTTGAGCTCCATCTCGTCTTGTTTCTTCTGTGGGTTTCCAAAGCTGCCAGCCGAGACAGCCACGGCCAAAGGAAGCACACGCCTCTCTCAGGCCATGCTCACCTGCGCCTCCACCTTCCTCCACAGTCACCAGTTTCTGCCACGGCCCTGCAGGGGCCAGAGAAAATAGCTCTTTTATTGCCACTCCTTCCCCATCAGCCCAGTTCTCCTGGGGCTTGACTACGAGACCAGAGACACATACCCTGGACATGGCAGGGGTGTTCTCATGTGGCTGACAGTGGGACAGTGGGAGCTACAGACAGCGGATGGCCATCTGCATGCCTGGGCAGAGGGAAGACCTCATCCCCTGGGGGCTGCTCAGAGGCTTCTGAATTCCTGGATTTGGCACCAATCATGGTAGCCCCTGTTTGGGCAAAGTTGAATGCAGAGAGCACCATAGGGGAAAAGAGGAGTTTGGGGTCTGGGAGAGGCTGCCATTTTGAATTCTACGGTCAGTGTCTAATGGCCACACTTCTTTAGGAGAGAGGGAGAAGAGTCGAAGCAAACTCTTCTCCACTTTCTGGCCAGAGGAGAGACAACCCCCTGAAACTCTCAAAAAAGACACCCAGAGACTCAGCCAACATTTGAGGCCCAGAGGAACAGTGGTTTCCATGGAAATCCCATAGGCCTTCACGTCATGGGATCTTATTTTGCTGGTTACCAAGCTGCTTTTCAGACCCTGATGGCATGAGGGAGCTTGGGCTGTTTGCCTTCCACTCATCAGCAACTCCCACTGCTGGCCGGTTGGCCTTAAGATCCTTCGTCATTCTGGGAGAAGAGTAGCCTAGATCAAAGTGAAAGTCGATTCACCTTCCTCAAAAGAGGGGTCCAGGTCCCAGGCACAGGCTAACTTTGTGGTAGGTGGGAAAACTAGAAGGGCCCTGAAGAACTCCCGGCCTCCTGGTCTTGCCAAACCTAAAGATACCCCCCAAAAAATGAAGTTTTAGGGGGCAGGATATCATGGCTGGTAGAGGCTCCAAAGGTGGGAAGATAGAAGCTGCCTTTTGGAGAATTAACCAAAGACCCCAAACAAAGACACAAGGTCATCCTGGAGCCTGGTCTCTTGTCCAGAGCAGCTGGGACCTTGTAGGGCTTGGGGACTCGGCAGAGGAGTAGTAGCAGGCGGGGTACCAGTGAGGGGTAGACCAGATGGCCTGTAGGTTCCAGCCAGCTGTGATGGATGTTCTAGAGGTTTGTGACTTTAAGCGTCTGGGGAAAGAATGCGACATGAAAGGTTTATGAGCAAAGTGTCCTTAAAGAGAACCTGATAGGGCCAGTAGGGCTTTCCACCGCCAAGGGCAGAGGGCATTCTCCCACCAGGGGATGAGGACTGAATCTGGATGGGGACCCAGAGGCACCAGCCACCCCCTCCTACCTCTCTCCTGTTTCTGCTTGAGGAGCCTGGTTAGGGAAGAGCTACATTTAGGTCTCAAGGACCTTCTCAGCTGGGGGAAAGGGTAAGCTCTAGCTCCCCCAGGGACTTCCAAAGCAGTAGAGCACAGTGGGCTCATGTGACAAGTACTGCCACTCCTACGAATCAGAGTCGCTCCAGCAGGCTGTGTGCACGGGAGGTAGAAGAAGCCGGACATGCAGTGTAGCCAACACATGTAACAATAGGAAAAGCCATGCTGTCATGAGCTCCTGGGTGCAAGAGTATGTGGTGCATATATGTGTATCTGTGTCTTTATATGTGTGAGTTTTGGGGACTGGGGGAGAAGGACAGATTTGGACATATACAGAGTCCAGGGCATGCAATAATAGGGAATCCTTTGGGTTCTGGTGTGTGTGTGTGTGTGTGTGTGTGTGTGTACACACGTGTCATGTGTGTGAATTGAGAATGAAGGAGACAATTCTGGACAAGCAGCAGAGCTCCATACATGTAAAAATAGGAGAAGCCATGTCATAATGGGGTGCTGGTATATATATACAATTGTGTGTGTATGTGTGTGTGTATCTGCATGTGCATTTGTGCACCAATGGCAGAGGGTAGAGGACAGAATAAAACCTGCAGCATTGCCAAATATGTCTTAAAGGAGAAGCCATGTCATCAAGGGGTCCACATGTGAGCATGTGTGCACAAGTGTGTGTGGGCTCATGTGTGCAGCAGAGAGTGGGAGAGAGGACAGAACCAGACAGACATGCAGCAAGGTTCATGCATGGCATGTGTGAGAAGCCCTGAGGAACTGGAGTTTGTGAGTGTGTGTTTGTATGCTCACATGCATGTTCAAGCACACACATGTTACAGCTCACTACAGGAACAGAGATGGACAATCAGGAAGGCAGAGAGCCAGGGTCTGTTGGCACTTCTGTTGTGAGGAGAGATCTTTTGTCACAAGATTTGCAAGTCTGTCTAGGCATAGGCACAGGGAGACTGTCAGGCATGGGCACAGGGAGACTGTCAGGCATAGGCACAGGGAGACTGTCAGGCACGGGGAGACTGTCAGGCATGGGCACAGGGAGACTGTCAGGTACGGGCACAAGTTGGGGCAAAGCACTTAGGAGCTTGTGGCTGGTGACTTTGTTGCTCCAGGCAGAGTGCCCCGTTTTAAGGGGAAAATGCCATATATTTGCAATTTCCAGGTGACGCACAGGGAGACTGTCGGGCACAGGCACAGGGAGACTGTCGGGCACGGGCACAGGGAGACTGTCAGGCATGGGCACAGGGAGACTGTCAGGCATGGGCACAGGGAGACTGTCAGGCATAGGCACAAGTTGGGGCAAAGCACTTAGGAGCTTGTGGCTGGTGACTTTGTTGCTCCAGGCAGAGTGCCCCGTTTTAAGGGGAAAATGCCATATATTTGCAATTTCCAGGTGACAGGATTCTAATGAATTTGAATTTGCCCATTTGTTCTCACCAACCATGAATACTAACCACTGTCCTTCTTCATCCAGTACAATTTCTTGGCACACGCCCACATCCATGCTCATATCACACACACATGTGTGTGCTTCTGTGTATAACACTCCATGGACCTGTCATGTTTTTCTGAGGCTCTGCATATAGACAGACTGATGAGAGAAAGAAAAGGAAGGGCATGAGTAGAAAGACATTTCATCAAATGAGTGAAGAACGGTGGATAGCAGAGGTACTATTCAGTGAGGGAAGTCCCCCAAGATACTGAAATGATTTGGGGGCTCCAAAACAGAAATGGGATGACATGCTGCGTGATCTTTCTCCACATTCCAGCTTATGTCCATATATGTGGCTCATGTTCAATGTCTAGCTGATGCCCTATGTTTGTCTTCAAGACCAGCCCAGGGTTCCAAGTGCAGTGGAAACCACTTCTGCCCAAGTGTGAGCTTGTCTCTCGAGGACTCCAGGTTCCACTACGTCTGGAGGAGTCAGGTGGGAAAAGGTCTTCCCAGCAAGGGGGATCCCATGGAACTCAAGTTTAGGCCGGCCTGCCAGTGGGGTGGACTGAGCCATGGTGGGTGCACATGGGCACATGCATAGAGGTGCTGGGGTCGGGGGCTGGGAGAGATGGGGAGTGTAAATGCTGATTTAGATGGAGCAGAAGGTGGGACTTGCCTGAGCAGGTTCTACTGTGCCTGCCTGGCCCCACATGCTGGCCCTAAACAGAAGAGTGTCCCACCTTCCACCCCTATCTCCCACCTCACACCAGTGCCTCCTCTCAACCTGCTCAATGTGGCCAAACTAAGGGCAGCAGTGAGGGGACACACACAATAAGCCCTCCTTATCTCTCTCTCCCCCTGACCTGTCGCTGGTCTTTGCTGGGACACAGCTCAGACCCCCCATCACAGCCTAAACTCCACCTGGCTCCCCCTTGGGCACAGGAAGGGGTCTCTAGCACCATTAGGTGAAGACTCCAACTGGCTAGAAGTCACTCCCCCTCTCTAAGCTCTCACAGGGCGGAAGTCAGAAGAGGACAGTCAGAAGTCCTCCCTGCCTTCTTTTCCAGGGGGTGCTATGTGTGGGTCTGCCGCTGCTTCTCACCACTCAGCATGAAGCAGATCCCTCCCTGAGCCACCCCGGCTATACACACAAATATCTGGAAACAGGCCAGACTCTTGCCCACATCTGGAATGGTCCTGTGTGGAGAACCATCTGGGAAGGGCCTCGCTCTGGTCAAACAGCTGTATGGACTTAACATCTGGGACTGGCCCAGCCCCCTAGACAGATGCAGAAAATGAGCCCAATCTTGTAGACAGGTCTCCAGAATAGACACATCTGGAACAGTTTCCCAAGGGGGGTGGACACATGGGGAATGGGCCCATCCGTGTGGCATGGTGGAAGGTCCTGTCCTCTGCCCCATGCCAGTTTGAATCAAGCCTTCATTCCAGTCCAGCTTTTGCCCTGGAGTTAAAATTTCAGAGCTGAGGCCATATGTGACGTCACAAAACTGTTTTTGGTAGAAGGTGAATGTTCTGTACAATATATATATGAATGTAAAAAGATATATATATATATGCTGTATATATATGTGTGTATATATATATATGCACAGTGTATATATGACCTGTAGCCCATGTGTATATGCACTCCTCCCTGCACGTCTGCACACAGAGTGTACATAACCCAGCCAGTATGGGTGGGGACCAGGTGAGAGATGGGGGCTACAGCAGCAAAGTCTGGGACAGAGGCACCCTGGGCCAGGGATGCAGAGAGCCTGGTGGGGGTGGAGCAAGCCCTGAGGCAGACCCTGAGGAAGAGGGGGAACCCTGGAGGCTGGAGGATGGACCCTTGCATAGCAGGTGCCTCCTTGGGAGGAACGGGTGGGGGAGGAGCCTTGTCTCCCTCGAGTGTCAGAAGCAGAACAGCAGGGCCTGTGACATGGGAGCGATGTCACGCCAGTACTGGGCTCCCGAGACCTGCTCTAATGCCTGTCTGCACAATTGGCAGGCAGATGTCAGGTTCCACCTGGAATAGCCTCAGAGGCCTCTGTCGCCGACTCTCACCCACACACCGGGCACAGCTTGTGGCTAGGGAAACGCTTTTTAAAGAGAATGGCCAGCATGCCTGTATGGTGTCCCCATGCCCTCGTGGTTGGCCTGCCCTTGTTCCCTGCTTTCTAGGACGGACCTCAAGTCACCCCGCAGCGTGTCTCTACTTTACAGATCAAAGCTCTGAGGCCTCTGGTGCAGGGAAGCAGCTGTAGGCCCAGTGACCCCAGTTAAGAGTGTGTCCCACCTCAGATAACCTCTCAGCTCCATTTGACCCAGAGGCCAGCTTCAGAGAGAGTCTGGGAGCTGGAGATGTGAACAGGACAGTGACATGGGCAAAAAAAAAGAGAAACCAACAAGGCACTTCCTGTCCCATCAGGGCCCATGCCATCTGTCTGCCTTCTCTCCCCTGCAGCACCACCCCCAGCAGGGTGGTTGGCAGAGAGTCCCCGGAAGAAGCTGCAGACCTCCACCCCTGCCCCTCGCACATCTGTCTGTTCTTTGCAATTCTGATCCCTTAGCTAGTGGTCCCGCCCTGTCACGGCCAGAGCATCTCTGGAGCATGCAGGTGAGAGAGATCGGAGTGGGCTTCTGTGTGGCCAGCAGCCTGCCCTCTGCTTCGGCCCCATGGGTCAGGCTGGTCTGCACTTAACTCTGGGTCTGCCCAGGGGTCCTGGACAGAGTACATCTGCACCCAGCCCCCTGAGGAAGGGCCTGTCACTGTGCTCCAAACCCCCTCCCCATCTCTGCCTGGCTGGGCCTCCCAAGATGGGGACTTGGGTTCCCGGCCCCTGGGCTGAGCTTCCAGCCAGCACCATGCAAGACCCCTGGCCCGTCCCAGCACCCAGACCGGAGTGCCTGGACACCTCCGCTCCCACACAACATGGTTCCCACACACTGGTCTCTGGGCCATTCAGGGGATGCCCTTTGTGGACATGCAGAATTTCTATGAATATAGTTTTTTGTAAACATTTTGTAACAATTTGGGTTTCATAGTAACTGTGTTACTTGCCAATCATTCTAGGCTAATGTAAATAAATTTCCAAACAAATCCGATTATTTTCCTTTTTAAGACACTGTGATATATCAAAGTGCACAGTTTGCTGTATGAAGTAATATGGTTTTAAATTTTAAATAAAGAAATGTTTCTAGAAAATGGGGCCCCCTTGAGGTGTGTTTTATGCTTCTCTGTCCTCCTTAGAACCAGAGGGTGCTGGGCAGTGGAGTCACTGTGCCCTCTTCACCAAGGGCTGACTGTGCTCCGGGCCAGAAACCCTGGTGAGGAGCAGGTGGGGGTGGCTCCAGCCCAGGCTCCTGGCTCCCAGTCAGATCTGGAAGGTGTCATGTCTGTCCTTGACCTTGTCTGACCTCTGCCTTCCCTTCTCATGGGCATGTCCCACCCCAACTCATCTCCAGCCACATCGCTTCCTGGGGCGTTGCCATGTCCTTATGTGACCTTGTCCCCGTGGCCACCGATGGGGAGCTGGGTGGGCCTCTATCTGAGGTTGGTTCATCAGAGGTCTTGCCTGAGTTTTGTCAAACTGGAAATGAGAAAACCATAAGTCAACTACCCCTGGAAGATGGAAACTGTACATATAAGAAAGGTACAGGGAGGACATTTTTTAAAAATTTTAAATATATTTTTATTGATTTCAAGAAGAAGGGAGAGGGAGAGATAGAAACATCCATGATGAGAGAGAATCATTAATTGGCTGCCTCCTGCACACCCCACCCTGGGGATCGAGCCCACAACCCGAGCATGTATACCCTAAGCAGGAATCGAACCGAGACCTCCTGGTTCATAGGTCGACTCTCAACCACTGAGCCATGCCAGCTGGGCTAGGCCAGGGCATTTTGAGCACGATGGGATTGAACATGGATGCTTACAAAATCAATGAAGAGATGAAGACAAGGCCACGCTGGGCTTCCAGTGGCCGCAGAGCCGCACAGAACTGACCCACAGCAGCGGTCCCCTCTGAGCCTGGTACTAGAACTGTGAGGTGAAAACCCAGCCAGAGCTGCAGTCCAGGGCTCTAGAAGCCTGGCCCGGGAGCCTGCTGCCACCACTGCCCCAGCACAACCGCTTCTCATCACCAGGAAGCTGGCGATGGATACGGGAGTGACGCTCCATGACAGAAACAGACCCAAGGGGGCAGGAAGATGGCCTCTGCCTCGCTTCTGCCTTCCAAACTCATGTAGACAGATTTAACTGGTAAGACTAATTTGCACCCAGTACCTCCCACGCTCCCCTATGACATCATCACTAAATCATAGCTAAATTGAGCATTTCCTAGGTGACAAGTGCTATGCTAAGTTTTCGACACATTTTATATCCTTTCACTGTAGTCTCCGACCCTGACTCTACAGGACCTTTCAGTCCACATGCACCACTTCTAATTGCCCGCAGAGTGACTATGAGTAGAGCTTGGGTCAGTCAGTCACCTGCGGTTCAATCAGCTGTGACCAGAGTGAGTGAAAAGCCACATAATAAATCATGCTACCCGGGTTCTTTGTTTCAGAAGGATTGAGAAAACCGGAAAGTTCCATAGAAAGGTATGGGGGCTGGGAAGATTTTCTAAACGATGTACCCTCCTTTCCCATCAGCCGACAAGGGCCAGGTAAGTCAAGCCCGGCCTCAGAAACCCCTGCACAATGGAGAGGAGTTCAGGACCCAGCGGCTACCGTGTCTTGAAACTCTGGTCCAGCCTGGAGCCACAGCCCAGACAGAGGCTTTGGGTCCAGGCCAGGTGAGAGGCAGGGAGGGGTCCTGGGTTGAAAGCACCTGTAAGCCTCTGAGAGGCAGAGGGAAGGTCCTTTCCTTAGGGGTGAACACAGTGGGGTTCCGGGTGGATGCCAAGACCAGCCCACAGGAGCGGGGTTATATGGACAAGAGAAAAGGAAGAGACCCAGTAGGAATGAAGTCCACAGTGGGGGTGAAGAAACAGAATAGCCACTCACCCATCTATCTATCCCTCCATCCACTCATCCTGTCGTCCACCCATTCATGCATCCGTCCATCAAATCACCCACCTGTCTACCTATGTATGTCTTCCCATCCACCTGATTCATCAACCAGTTCATCTATTTATCCATCTACCTGTCTACCCACCCTCAATCCACCCACCCACATTCACAGAGTTAAACAAGTATTTTGTGTGTGAGTCCCAGCTCTGCCACCTACTAGATGTATAACTTGGAAAAGCAATTTCACATCCCTGAGGCTCAATTTCCTCATCTGTAAAATGCCTGATCCTAAACCCCCTCCATCACCTTGTAGAATGGTTGTGTGGGTTGCACGAGAAAAAGGCGTGCTAAGTACTTAGCACAGGGCTGGGTGTATCATAAGCCAACAATAAGTGATAGTAATTTTTACTAAGAAAACGGAGAATGAGGAGAAGGAGAATTAGGACCTCCTATATGCTGAGCCCTCTGGGAATAGAGTAGTGAGCAATGAAGCAAGACTCGTCCCCCAGGGCTCGGAGCCTTGGCCCAGAAGCCCATCTGTGACACTCAGGGCTCAGCCAAGCCTCCTAGGATACTGGGGTGGCCCTGAATGTCTCTGGATTGGGCAGAGAAAGGAAGAAACTTCCTTGCCCCCCCAGCCTCTCTGAGGAGCCCTGACTCTACCTCCCAGAGCCCATCTCCACCTGGGTGGACCTCACAGACTCTGAGCTCTCTCTCTCTCTCCCCCAAGGAAGAAAATGGAACCTACATTACCAGGCGCTTAGTATCAGGCAAGCGTCACTGTGAGCACTCTCTACCCACTTCCCAGGGACTAAACATGGATCCTCTGAAGCAGGCACTGTTACATCCCATTTTACAGCGGAGGAAGCAGAAGATCAGAGAAGTAAATGGACTTGCCCATTTTGACTGCCAAGGGAGCTCATGTGAGGAGAGAGAAAGCTTGCCATGAAAGCATATGTTAAGTGTGAAGCATCAGGCTTACTATTTGTGAGGGTCCCTCTGCGCTTGTCTGTCAGTTTCCCCTTCTCCCGCCTCCCTCCCCCAGGTCCACCTGCAGTGAGCCAGGAACAGGAGCAGGTCAGGGCCCCGGAATTCTGGGGATGCGGGTCCCCATTCCAAGAATCAGGCGGGGCCAGGGCACGTGCTCCCCCGGGGCCTTGATGGCACTTCCTTGGAAACAGAAGCTGAGTGTTTAAGAAGCATCTGTCATTATGGAAACAGAGTTGCCAGACCATTTTTTCCTTTACTATTTTTACTGCAATTTCATTATCTTATGCAAATGAGGCCGCAGAAGAAGTCTTTCTGCAGGGTGGCCCATGCTGGGACCAGCCCCATCCAGGGATTTATTGCTGCCTGGGCCTCCAGACAGCTCGGGGATGAGGAGGCCCCGTGGAGAGGGTTTCCGGAGCAGCCGCCCTGCCCTGGAACATGCTGCTTCCTTCCAGACAAGCCCCCAGATCCTCCCTGTGTCCCAAGATAGCCCTGGTCCCTTATTTCCAAAGATCTAAGTATCAGCTCAGCCTGGCTCAGGCTCTGTCCCCAATTCCTCAGTAGTTGGGGCC